TCTTAATGTTTTAGTAGTTCATCAACATTTAATAATTTCTATGTTTATCCTCTGCATTTTAAGCCGATTTGTAATTTGTCTATTGTAGGCGTAGAAAAGCTGTACACATTACCACCACTTATTGGCCAGTAAATCGTCGTCATCCACTGAATGATCCCAATATATCTTACGGGATGTATGATAATGGTGTTGTGAAAAAGAAATGCTGCATAGTGAAAAACTTCTCCACAACAGAGGTATCTCAGCATAGTGAATTTGCTTCACGTATGCAAGCAAAGGGGTTCTCAAATCTTTGTTTGGAAGTTTATGCTTATGATAAACCTAATGACACCCTGATTTGCGAGCGTTTTAAGTCCACACTCATGTCTTGGACCAAACAAATGGCATGTACTTGGAAGGAGCAGGATAATTCCATATCTGGACAATCTTTACTGAGGTAAAATGGCATGTAGTTTTGTATTTTCCTATATATGTGGTTAACTGGTTATTATTTTGAGAAAAGTGAAAATCACATTGTATTGTTATTTAAAATGCCAGGACGACCTTTGAAATTGTTCAAATGCTTTTATTGAATCTTCCTTCTGGGTTGATTTATTATCATTCTTAGCTTTTTAGTTGTTAGGGCATCCTAATTTTCCACAATCCCTATTATTTTTTGATCTTTCTATTCTCTTTTATGTCCTTGTAGGCCTCTTTTTGGTTTTTTGAGGGTTTATGCTCCAGAAGGTGCTCCAGAAGGTGCTCCAGAAGGTTATTACCATCCAGATTTGCTCAACTCAGTTTACATCACAGATGAAAATAAAGTCAAATTTCTATCAAAGGTGAAAGTACTTAGGAGACCTGTTGACTGCAAGAAGAATTTGTCCGAGGTTTTATGCTTTATATATGGAATCTCAGTAGGAGATATTCAACAAGAATCAAAGGAAATTGGAGATCCCGAATTTCCAGAATCTTTGCCAGAATCTTCAGAACATATTCCAAAGAGCCTTCAGAATCTCTACAAATATTTGCAGTCCTATAACCCTCGTAGGTGAGTTGAATTACTTATTTTTCAAATTGTGATTTTTGTGTATGGTTTAACTGTCTTCCTTTCCTTCAGACATTGTGCACGTTTCTTCTTTG